TTTCGAAAGTTGTTTTTGCTTGTGAAAAGTTCTGCTCAAGTCTTGGCTATCGAACAGCGAAAATCGCAGGTCTCTATCTGTCTCATGTGAGAAGTTATTCAGAAAGCAACCGGGGTCGCCGTATTTTGGCGACGATAGTAGTTATCAGTTCTGATATCTCTATGTTTCTATTTTTTCTTTTTCTTTCGTTTTTATTAAGATATCATGGTATGTCGAGTTATTCAGTTCATATGCTATCAGTGTCTCCTTTAGTGATCTTTTTATTTCATTTCTTTCATAAGCGCTGTTCCGTTTTTAGACGAAGTATACACACCAAAAGTCACGACTCAAATCAGGCTACTAGCTCTCAGATGAGCTTTTTAGCAAGATCGAAATTGTGATTATGACAGCTGATTTCACTCAACACGCCTCACTCTCGAGTTTGCAATGTCTGATTGCGATATATGGTGATTCTACCAGTTCTGTCCGCATATCGATCCACTGCGAAAGTTATTGAGTGATGTACGAACTGAATTATATTGCATTCTTTTTAATAAAATCTTTATAAGAAAATGTGAAGTAAGTGAGTTTGACTCTAAACTTTATTTAATTCCATCGATGGCAGATATCACCATAGATATTTGCAGGAGAAGACCATGCTACACCCCAGTTCCAATGGGCTGCAATAAAAATTAATGTCACTGTATCTAAATGCGAACGGATATGCTTATCCAGATATTTACCTGGAATATCAAGCCCGTCCTGCATAACATCATCCCAAGGAAATAGTCTCCAATCATCCGAACGGAACTCATCAGCAGGTGCTCCAAGAACATTCACGCTTGTCTTTTTTGTAGTGAACATTGCATGCTTGAAAGCGCCAACGAAAACTTTCGGATGATCTTCGTTCTTGTTGTTATCATCAAGGTTATTCCGTCTGTACGATAAATAAAATATGACATTATGTATCGGATTGTAAAAAGCTTGACTTGGTTCTTACCCGGCAAAGGTATTTTGAATGTCTCCCCAGCGCTCAGCTTTTTGCCCCTTGTGATATGATTGCAAAAGATATCCACGATACCAGTTGTCTGTACCGCTATCTTGCCACCAAACTACTGATACCCATTCCCAGTCACTCATATGAGTAGCGTCCTATATATCAAGAACATCAGATCAGAACAAAATAACATTAAATAGCGTCGGTAGGAAAAGAGAACATGGTAACGTACATGCTTGAAATACAGGCTGTACGTTATTCTCCAGCTGTTATCGCCTGGACAGTATTTCACAGTATAGTACGTTGGAAAGGGATTACCCCAAGTACGAGGTCCTTTCCATTCCCCAGGATTATTACAAGTACCAGCACCAGTTAGTGCCGCTGGACTGCCGTTCATTTGAATATGACCACCTTTTCCATCCTGCGTAGCTGAGTCCGGATAACATGGTGTCTGAAAATGTGAATATTTTATTAATTTGAATAAAAAATCAAACTTTTGATTGACATACCCGTGATAATGAACGTCCAAAATGCCACATACTGTGGGTAATGAGTGAGTAGCATGGAAATTACATTATCAGATATGAGCTTAAGATATTTAAAATAGAAATATATCAGAAACTTACGGTGCTGATGCCATTGCAGCTTGATGGGGATTATTTGTGAAAATCGATCCATGTAGTCTGGTGTTTGCTAACACGTCTGTAGCCAAAAAGGTTGTGACAACCAGAATAGGTATATATCTCATTGTGAGTTCAACCAACATTTCGAAGTTGCGGAAACTAGCAGGCAGATATATATCTGTAACCAATGAACTCATATAGGCTCTAGGCAACGATACGCAGTTTATGACGACAAAAAAGCTGAAAAATCTGAGTAAAGGAAGTTACTACTACATATCTTGAACTCGAGTTTTACGACTACTGATTCTTTTTACCCTTTTCTCTAACACATAAAGCGAAAGTCTTCTTCTCTCTGTCTTCTCATCTGTCTGTTGAAAACTCCAGCAAAATTAAAAGAACTACTGCGCATTTTTCTAACCATTCGCATAATTTTTCTAAACTGACCATATCAAGTTGTGTAATCTAAAAGTTCCAGGTAAACATCGTTCTTGATCAATATTATCTGTCAATAGAATATAGTTACTTAGTCAAACACTACGATTTTCTTTGTAGTAGACATATGACTTAAACGACTGGTTGCATCTTATTTTTGATTGACTACGAATAGTTACATCATGTTATGGTTTTATTCAACTTTCTAGTCTATGTCACTACTTTTATGAGCGTACGTAGTCTAAAACAAAACTGACCATCATTTACAAACGTTTGATCGAAATAACAATAAATCTTCTTACTTTTTCAAATAAATAGCTCATATCAATAACAATAAATAAAACAACTGATTTTTTAATATCAACAATGAAAATTTCGTCTTGGTTGATAACGACCAAAACATTTTTGAAGCGCTCCCAAAACAATGCATGTTTGAAGCAGTCCAAAGTGAAATTCGATCCAATGTAATATTGGCCTGGGCCAAAGTAAAATTCTACTTTGAACTACTTTGTTAATAGTCAAAGTACGAGGAATGAATAAATTATTTTGGCTGTCATAAAATTTTATATGATGAATGATGCACATAAAAACTGATTTGAGAGCACTATATTCGTCTGTCTTTTTTGCTTCACCTTATCGTTATCGTATTAATAAAATGAAGTAGAAGTAGTAAACACTTGTATGGATTGTTCTATTAGGTTGGCAAGAAAGTTTTTGCGTTTTTTTCAAAGATCTTCATTTTATTTTTCAACCACAAGAATACAACTAGCTTTCAACAATGTATGCTCCATTACTATCTATGATTTGTCGCCAACGCTCTGAAAGAGAAAGGATCCCGCGTTCGTAGAAGTTTTGAGACTTTTGGCCGAAGAAGTTGACGAAGTCCATTTTGAGGTCGTTCTCGTCGTCGAAGTTTTTCTCGCGCAAATGATTAGAAAGAGCACGGAATAAATGGTAGTCCGTAGGTGCCAAGTCCGGAGAATACGGTGGATGTGGAACCGTAACCCATCCGAGCTTCAATAAATTTTTCAGGCGTCGACTTTGCGATATGAGGTCTGGCGTTGTCATGTAAAAAGTAAATTCTATCCTGCTTCCCCTGAAGTTTTGCTGCAACTCGGTCTAATTGCTGACAGTAGAGATCAGCAGTGATGGTGCAGCCGGTTGGAAGAAGCTCTCAATGAATAATCTCTCCTACCCTCCACCAAACGCTCAGCATAAACTTCTTTGGGTGAAGGTCACTTTTGGGCGTTGCTACACCTGTTTGTCCAGCTCCCAGCCACTGTCGCTTGCGCATGTGGTTAACATATAACACCCATTTTTCATTGTCGGTAATGAGATTCCGGAGCCATTGGTAGTTGTGGTGAGACGTCATTAATTCCATACATGCGCCAACCCTGTGTTGAAGCTGATGCGGTGACAAATCATGTGGTATCCAAACTCAATATTTCCACATCTTGCCTAATTCGCTGAGATGTTTTTCTACTGCAGTATGAGAACACCCAAGCCGCTCTGCTAAACACCGTGTAGTCAATCTAGGATCTTCTTCAATAAGCTGCTTTAAGACATCCGTATCCACCTCTAGTGGTCTTCCGGGACGAGGTAAATCGTCGAGTTCGAAGTTACCGTTCTTGAATCGGTTGAACCAACGTTGCGCTGTACGGATGGAGGGTACATCCTTGCCCGTCGTGCCGTATATGTTGCTTGTTGCTTCAGTTGCTTTGCGACCCAAACGAAATTCATGAAGCAGAAGCACTCGGAGCTCCCTAGGAGAGACCTTCATTTCTAATCCGAGATCAACGTCCATATCCATAGCTTTATTGTTGATTGGAAGATATGCGTACCTCCTTTATATACCCTTCGTATGGAAACTTCTAGAAGTTTCTCGAATGTTTTAGAAAATTTAAAAAAATACGCAAAGACTTTGTTGCCAACCTGATAATTATAGTTATCTCTCTGACGAATTCACAGAGGCACAGATTCCGTGCACTTTATGCACTTACTGACATGACGAAAAGAGATTAGGAAAGAAATTATGATTCCATTAGGTAGCAAGAAAATAAAAAACAAAAAACAAAAATACCGAAAAAAAAGGATTTTATTTGTATGCACGGGAGTTTTTAAAAATGAACATTTTGAGATGCATCGCCTGTGGAATTACCTTGAAATATGGTTATATTACTTCGCTAAATAACCTTCTCGCTTAAAGTCAAACTGTTCACGTTTTTTAGCGGAGTAATACAGTAATAAATTGTTCAATTTCTAAAAAAGAGCATTGGAGTTTCTTCCCAGCAGCAGTAACAAAACATGATTTTGCAGTCTTCACGTCATTTGTTTTCATCGAAAAATATTAACGCATTAAACTTTATTCGTTTTAGTGATTGTTAAACAATGACTGCCTTTTGTGATGAAAACTGCTTTTGTGTTTAAAATTCATACAAACAATACAAAACTTTTAGCTTTCATTACTTCGGACTTCTTTTAGCAGTAATAAATAAAATATATATTGTAGAGTACTGATATTCATCTTTTAGAGAAATTGTCTGAACTTTTTTAAGAATTTCTTTGTCATTTTCGTGAAAGAAAACGAGATGATTTTGGGGCCTTGAAATACGAGCCATGTATTATCAACATTATAGCAATAATCCTATAAATCACCTGTTTTTCTCTTCCCATTGGAACTTTTAAATACTTTCGAATTAATGCAAAGTAATTTAAACAAGTTTGAAAGGAAATTCGTTCACATTAATTTAAAAAACTTTTTGGCGTTCAAAATTAATGCGCATCAATTTGAAAATACTGACATTGATTTTAGCTCATTTTTTCGTCAAAAAATTAATTTCCCTCGTTACCGCATTACACAAAGTCTCATATTAAATTAATGTATACGAATTTCGAGCTTCTAATTAGTATACACTAATTCGAAAACTCTACACTAATTTGAAACTCAAATTAATTTGAATTAATGTTTTTCCAAATTCCTTTAACTCAATTTAGTAATAAATCGATTTGCACTAATCTGATAGAAATTAATTCAAAACAATTTTCA